GCCACGGCCAAGGTCATCAACAACGTTCACGGGCACAGGCATCAACTATGGCCATGGTCACAGGCACAGGCCGTGGTAACGACCCACGGTCACGAAAAGGCCACGGCAGCCACAATCCACAGCTCCACAAAAAGCCCCACAGGCCTGCCCACGGGGTTCAGGCCTTCCCCAGCATCCTGAGCAGACCTGAACCATGCCCGGTGCCCCAGAGCCCCGGGGGCAGCGGGGACCCTCCGTGTCCCCTCCTGGCTCCTGCTGCCTGCCCTGGGGTCTCCCTCCTGGGGACCACCCCTGTCACTCCCTCCATGACATCCCAAATAAAGAGCCTCACGGACCCCTCAGCTGCAATTCCCGATCCCAAGTTAGCTGTCACTGTTTTCTTCCAATGAAATCTGGCAGCAACCCAACAGAGGGAAGAAACAAACCTGCTATAATTAATGTTCTTGCTGTTCAAATATTTATATAAAGCAAGATAGAGCCGTATGCCTCTGCAATCTCTTGGATCTGTCCAACCTTCTCAGCTTTGCAGCCGGGAATAATTTTAATTGATTGCACAGTACTGCTGATGGCTCAGGCCAGCTCCCCTTCCCAGTGCCCAGCTCCACACAGACCTCTGCCTTAGGAAAGCTTACACTGACCCCAAAACACAAACAGGAGAGATCAAGGACTATTCTGATGGAAGAAGGATTTGTGGATGTTTTTTCCCAGGATGGCTTTGGGTACAAATGGAATTAGGAGCTTTGCTGTCTTACATCATAAGTGGCACCAGTTCAGGCAAGTCCTGGGGAATTGAAGCCTGGACCAGGTACCCACCTCGCTCCTCCCCAGGGCTGAATTAATTCAAAACTGAGATGCTGCAAGAAGTTGCAGGAGATTTTAAAGTCTGTGACCAATTCCCCTGGTTCCAATATAATCACTTCTGTTACAACAGCGATGAATTCCCAATCTCTTGATGACTCCAGAGCTCCTGCCAGTTGACTCTAATTTCAGCTCATTTCCCTTATAATTTTGCCTCCTGTTTTTGCTGCAGAGGTCGGAACGGCTCTCAGCCCTTCAGGTGAGCTGCCAAAACAAGATGATGCAATGGCTGCGCTGCTCCCACCGGCTCCTGGAGCAGCTCATTTACTGATGAGTTCCTGGGAAGCGGCTTAACAACAGGATGTGCAACACATCCGTAAAAATTGCATCAGCTGTGACGCCAGAGGAGTTTTTCCCTGTGCTTGAGCTTCATCTGGGCTGTCTGTGATCGATCTGCCACACGAATTCATGTCTGCTGAAGAACATGAGAACTCACCATCACCCAGCTCCATTATGCCAGTGTTTCGTTATTTTTATTACTGCCTGCTAAAACGATCAATGTCCATGAAAGACGCTTCCTTCCTGCATTGATTCCACCTTGACCACGTCGCTTCTGCCCGTCCTGTGCAGCCTGAGCTGTGGGAGCACTGCTGGCCTCTGTCCCAGTACCTGTGGGGCTGCTCGTGGAGCCCCAGCCTCAGGCCAGATGTTGCCCCAAGCTCCACTCATACAATTCCAACACTGAGGCTCCTCAGTCCAAATTGTGACTGTACTGGCCAACATCCCAAGGTGAAGGGAGTGAAGGAACCAATGCCAGTGTGTGCATCTCCTCTTCAGCACTGCTTGTGAGGTATCAGCAATGGCAGTTGAGGAGTGAAAAGCCTCCTGAGCACCCATGAAAGCTCCTGCTATCCAGGGATCACTCTGGCACAGCACAAACCCCAAACCAAACCCCACTCACAGAGCACTAAGTGCTTCCAGAACCGACTGTATAGATCTGATGTCATGGTCAGTTCAATAACTCCAGCAGCATCAGTGGATGGACATTACAGAAGTGTCAGATGCTGTTTGGTTGCCTGGATGTAACAAAAGCCTTTTAGTTTCAATTTACTGCTGGGGAAAATGGAAGCAGAGGAATTTCCCAAGGCAGCAGCGAGCCAGAGCTGGGCACAGAGAGCAGCTGCCCTGAACTGTGTCCTTCAGGCCACAAGGCAAACATTTCCTGACAGCCAACAAACAGCGGGGACAGGGGAGGGAAGGGACGGAATGGAAAGATTTTATCTCCAGAATCCCTCCTTTTGCACAGAAACTCACACCCTGACAAAGCTGCCATCAGTGCAGGCATTCCCCACACCAGCTGCCTCCTGCAGGAACCACGTGCAGGGAGCACTGAGGGTTAAGAAGGACACAAACCCCAGGACAGAAAGGCCACCTTTCCTTGAGGGATGAGGGCACCCTGCAGGAGGTGCCAGGCTGGTCTGAAGAGAGAAGCAGGAGTGTGCATGCTGCTGCTGGGACACTCCCACTGCTCCCAGCCCAGGAATTGTGTAAATGGGAGGAGGATGCATCAATCGCTGCGTGGTACCCCTGGCAGCCTGTCAAACTGAGAGGCAAAGAGGGGGAAAAAACAATGGACACGTTTTTATTTCCTTATGTTCCACCAGGCGAGTTGGTGACTTGCAACTGCCTCACTCGTTGTGCAATCCTGGGCTCCCCAGCCCACCTCCCTCCCTCCTCCTGCACACCCTGCAGAGTTTGTGGCTCCCTCATGCCCAGGTGGCCAGGCCACCTCCCTGGGGACACTCCAAGAGGCAGATGAGACTCGTGACTCCTGGTCACACATGAATTCAAGCAGCTCACTGAGTTCCTACTCTCATCTGATCCAAGCGTACCTGTGCATCCCAACTCTTCCACAGTGACCCCTTCCTCAATTTCTGAGGATATCCAACCACACAGGAAGCTGGACTGAAATGCAACACATTCCTCCAGCTTCTGCAACAAGCACAGGGAAGAGCAGAGCTGTCTTTGCAGCAGCTCCCAGAGCAGAGGGAAACAACCAGAAACAGAAACTCCTGGCAGAGAGGAGGTGGTGACTGGGAGGTGGGGAGGGAAGAGAGCTCAAACAATCTGCCAGCAGCACAAACTTTGTTCCCACTCCAATTCTGGCTCAGAGGGGAAGCAGCCAGCAGAAAAACCCAAACCAAAACAAACCCTTAGGAAACAAGGAAGCTGTTCCCATGTTTGTAGTGACTTCTGAAACAGCATCTCCTGTCCCCCAAAATGCTGAGATGAAAGCAGGAAATATGAGATGCTTTTTGACCAGACTTTTGCCAAGGATTCTATGCAAAATCTCCCACTCAGCAGCTTGTAAGATCCTGCAGATTTCATAGAAGGCGGCTCAATGGGGAAGAACAAACTGGCACCAAAAATGCACACACTGGACAAAACCCTTTCAAGTCAAAAGTCCCAAACAACAAAAGCTCTGTTTTATTAATCTGCTGCCAATTGTGAGTGTCACGTGCACTGTGTGAGGCTTCAGACTGGCAGCACAGGGGTTAAAAAGGAAGGGAAAAAGCAGAAGCAAGCAGGCTGTGTGTGCAGAGCCGGCTCTGCCTGGCTGGAGCTGTCTGGGCTCCAGCAGCAGTGAGGAAGAGCCGGCAGAGGGCAGGGAAATGCCGCAGGAATTCACAGACAAGGCTCAGAAGATGCAATAAACCGTATTTCCTTCCTTTCCTGACACTATTTGCAGCTCAGAGCAGAAGTGTTGCAGCACAGTTAAACCACAGCACTCCTGACTCACTGGACGCTGCCTGGGACCCTCCTGCACCAGCTCCTTGTGGGAGAATCCAAGCCCACAGCATTCCTGGGACAGCATGGGAGCAGTCCAAGCCCACAGCATTCCTGGGACAGCACGCCAGGACTGGGGTTTCCCCAGCATGAGCTCAGCCTCCTGCTTTTCAGCAGCCAGGATGTTATTCCAAGTGTGTCCATCACTCTTCCCACTTCCCACCACTACAGCGGGTAACACCACATTCCTGTGCTTCACAATCCCTCCATGAGGACAGGAGATGATGCCAGGCTGTGCACATCTCACTCCTGCTCATTGGGGTTTCTCTCACCCACTGATCTGGCAAAGGCTGGACTTTATTACTGGGATGGGATGGGATGGGATGGGATGGGATGGGATGGGATGGGATGGGATGGGATGGGATGGGACAGCCACCGCTCACCCCACTGCACAGGTGCTGCACAGCTCAAGCCCAGCAAACCCTGGGTACATCCTGAATGCAAAGCTGACACAAAGTCTGACATCACCTCACAGAAGGGTTTTAACATATCCAGAGAGAATTGAATGCATTAGAATACTTCCTCACAAGCCTCGTTCTTACTGGCATTCTCTGGCCTTGAGATCAGCCCACAAAATAGAGGCAGAACCTCCTCAACTGTCAGTGCAGGCTGTGCATTGCTGACATGCACAAAGGAGAACTCGTTTCTCCTCATTTCAGGTGTAGTTTCAAAGTTGAGTTGTAGCCTAAAAATCATCCCCATGGTGCTTCAGGAATGCAGCACATCCATCCTCTCTGGGATGGGAACGAGTAACACAGCAACAGGGCAGGGCCCAGAGAGTCAGAACCACCGGGTATGGAAACAGGGAGTTATATGGGTGCCTTCCTTCTCCTTATTCCCTTGCCAAGGTGCCCTCACCCCCCTGTGGAGTTTACTGCAGGTGACACTGGGAAGCACTGACTGAAATACCCAGGTTAGACATGCAAGAATGAATGTTTATCTGTCTGAAGTGGGACCACGTTCTGAACTGCAGCAAAACAAGCTCGCACACGCAGGTTTCGTGTCAACACAGGGCCTGGAGGGGTGCCCACGGCTCAGGAAGTCAGCAGGGCCCTTTGATGTGGCTCTGCACGAGAAGCAACAAGCTCAGATCCTCAGCAGAGCCAATTAGGCCAACAAAGGACCCGTTTAATTTAGCAGTGCTGCTTCCAGGGTTCAAGACAGTTCACCTGAAAGGACGTACACAGCCCTGATGTTTGGGGCCAGGGTTCACTAAGCAGAAGCAGAACTGGCTGACAGTTTCCTGTAAACTCCATAGGAGTCTGAAGCAAGACAGGGCATTGAGCTCAATGCCACTGCGAAGTTTCTCAACCCCCTTCAGCACCTCCCAGCAGCCAGAGGAAGGATGCACTCACCTGCTCTCACTGTCCATGAACACGGAGCTGCTGCTTTTCCCCAGGGCTTCACTGATGGGAGAGAGGCAGAAGGGGGAAGAGAAGGCATCAGAATCAGAGTCAAAAGTGCTGTCCCTGCTCACATCGTCAGCAGACAGCTCCAGGGAGCCCTCGTCCTCCCTGCAGTCCAGGCCCTCCTCCGTGCCCTCGGACCTGCAGGGCTCCTCCTGGGAGCTGACGGTGGACGGGGTGCCCGAGTCGCTGCGGGGCGGCCGCGGGGCCGGCCGGGCGCTCTGTGCCAGCTTCTCCCCCTCCGAGGAGGGCACCCCGTCCCTGGGGGGCTGGGACACCGGCAGCCCCTCCGAGTCCCCGCCGGGGCTGGGCGCCCCCCGGTGCTGCGGGGGGGACGCGGTGGCCAGGCCCGGGCCGTGGCGGCCGCGCTTGCGGGGCGCCTTGCGCACCGGGGAGCCCTCGGGGGTGACGTAGCGCAGCGCCTCCTCGTCCTGCCGCTGGATGCGCGAGTTGGGCACCCAGGCCAGCATCAGCGTGGCGCCCAGCAGCTCGTCCTTCTCCATGTACAAGCACAGGTAGCCTGAGAGAGAGCACAGGAGCGGCGGTTGGGAGATGGAGTCGTTGTAAGGGAACCGCATTGCCCTGAAGTTTCCCCTTCCCCATCTCTCTCCATCCCTGGAAATGTTCAAGGCCAGGCTGGGTGAGGCTCTGAGCAGCCTGGTTTGGTGAAAGGTGCCCATGGCATGAAGGCTCCTCAGGATCCTCCCTTTTCAGGAGATCCCGCCTAACCCAAACCATTCCGTCATTCCTGCTGCTTCACTGCCACTCCACATGGCAAAACAAACCCTTTAATTTACCAGGACAGAACTCTGTCAGAGGAATTGTGGAGTGCTCAGCATTATTCAGTATTTGCCAATAATTTCAAGTCTGCATGTAGCTTTTGAACAGCCTGAATTCCCTCTGGCCTAACTGAACACAGAAATGACATGCAAATACTTGGACTTCCTGGACAGATTTACTAATCAAGAGTAAATAATAAAATATGTTCCCACATGAAAAAGTTTTACTGTTTCTTAGTTAAACAATTTCAAGTGCCAGCAGAACATTGATTTCTCAAGAATATTTACCTCAGTGTAGCTGAAGGGCTACAGTATTTATGGGAAGCCAATGGAAAAAGAAGACACCCACACCAAAAGGAAAGCAAGGGCCAGTGCTCAGAGAATAATTCATTTTGTGAAGCTAAGCCAAGAGCCACAGGTCTTTGATGAGAACATGAAAGAGCACAGGAACAGATGAGAATAAAAGGACAGAGCGGGATTTATCCTCATTTACTCCAGTGCATGCAGCCACAATCAGGCTTTTTGGATTTTCCCTTCACCAGCAATGACAGCTACAAGAGGATACTTGGATTTCCTGAACAATTCAGGGATGTGAACCAGCAACAGAAGTTACTGTCCTCACATGACAACTTCTGACTGCTCAAAAGGACTTACTAAACCAGTAAATCCATGCTGGACCAGAGGAGAAAGGAGCAATATCACTAATCTTCCTACTAAAAGAGCTGCTGGATCAGCTTGTGGATGGCTTTCCTGAGCCTTCCACAAAACTGCCTTGCCCTGTCCCTCACTGGCACCTGTTCATTTCTTAGAGCCCAGGGTGCAGAGAAAAAGAGAGAAAGGGCAGGGTTTTGCCATCACCTGGGTGGTGCTCCCCGATGCCCTGCAGCAGCTCCGGGGGGTGCACACACACATTGTTCTTGGAGTAGATGATGTCCCCATCGAGCAGGGAGCAGGAGCCGCCGGCAGTCAGCGTCAGGAGGTCGGACGCTCTCGAGGAGGCTCGACGGAGGAGTCGCCCCAGAGACATCGCCAGGGAAATGTTTCCATCATCTGTCAGCTCTAGCCAGGAGCCAGATTCAGAGGATCTGCCAGGAAGGAGCAAAAAACAGGGTGAGAACCAAAATAACGACAGCTCAGCACGTGCCACCCACTGGCTGAGGACAGGTCTGCCATCAACGCACACCTCGGGCAAGAGCCCAGCGATGCTGAGGGTCTGTGACATCACCTTCATTCCCCAGAGGTGCTCAGGGACAGGATTCCGGGACACTTGTCTCTGCCATGAAGGCAGCAAAAGCCACATGGTCACAGTTACTGTGGGAGGAGGAGAACAGCAATGCTGCTCACTGAAATCCCACTGAGGGAACAGATCAGCCTGTGGATGTGCCTGATGTGTCACTGACCCAGGCATGTCACACAGCCACAGCTGATCCCAGAGGCTCCTTCAGCACAGAAATGGCTGAGCCCACAGCACTGAGCATGAGGCAGCTGCTCCAGCCACAGCATCTCCAAAAACAACATCAATCAAACCCAGTCCATCCCCTGCTTGCCATTTCTGTGTGCTTGAGGTTTTCGGGGCTGGGATTTTTTTCTGTGAGGTTGTTTTTGGGTTTGGTTTGGGTTCTTTTGAGCCTTGCCAGAGATGAGGCTCAAAAGCCCTGTGTTCACCAGGGGGGCAGAGCCTGGACACAGAGCCAGTTGGTGGCACACCAACTCAGGGCAAACATTTCACCCATCCAGAGTTACACAGAACTGAAGCACAATCCCCAGAGGGTGGCACACCAACTCAGGGCAAACATTTCACCCACCTAGAGTTACACAGAACTGGAGCACAATCCCCAGAGCATGGCACATAACTCAGGGCAAACATTTCACCCATCCAGAGTTACACAGAACTGTGGAGCACAATCCCCAGCTCACCCCAAATAATCTCTGTGCTCAGGTGAGATGTGCTGCCTGCTGGGGCAGATGATGAGCAGCTCTGCAGAGGACCCAGAGGGGTCACCCAAGCTATAAAGCATTCAGCAGATGGACCAGGACATGTTGGAAGAGCAGGAGAGTCTCACACAAAGCAGCTGCAGGCTCTCTGCAGCCATCCCCAGCTGGGAAGCACCAGAACCAGGGCAGTTTCTGTTCTGCCAAAGCCACAGGAGAAGAGGAAACTCCCACTTTTGTTCCTCTGGGTTTACATGGCCCAGCTGGCCGTGCCCAGGTCGGTGTGACCCAGCAGAGCCAGGCACAGCCATGCTCCCAGGCCTGGGGAGCTCAGCCTGGGATGCTCCTGGGGACCAGCCCCACGCTGGGATGCAGGGCATGAGAGAGGAAAATCGAGCACAAAATAAAGCCCTGCCCTGGGGCACCTTTTGAGGAAATACTTAAGGGCCTAAGCAAGCACTGTCTGATATTGAACAGCTCTGATTTCCTTAATCTGGTTTTGATGGCAAACGCAGCCAGCCCAGGAGGGCAGAAGGCAGAAATGGCAGAGGGGCATCTCCCAAAGGGCAGAGGGAGGGTTGCAGGGAAGGGAAATAGCTGTCCTGCCTCTGACAGATTGGGACATGCAGGAGACTGCAAATGAGGCTGCCAAGCTGTTGACAGAGCCTTCATTAAAGGACAAACTATTGGTTTAACTGCAATGGCCACATCTGTCAGCTCAAATCACAGCAGAGGCTGCTCCTGCCTTTCAGCCTTTGCTGGGATTTCATGGAGCAGCCTCAGCCCTGATTTGCACCAGCAAGTGCTCAGGATGAGAGAATCCCTGTGCCAGTCCTGCACACTGCTGTCTCCCTCTAGCACCAGACACAAGTATCCTCATGTCCCAGCCCCAAAACCAAACCCCAGCCAAGCCCTCAGCTCATTCTTGTCCACATTGCCAAAATCCACAGTTTCAGGCTCGGGGTTACACCTGGCAGAAAGTCATCTGCCTCAACCACATTTAAGGAGCAAAAATCACCTTTCCCTTCATTGCACCCTGCAAGAACAGACAGTAAATTCTGGTGCAACTCCTCCTTCCCCACAGTGAGTTACAACATGCTGTTCCCAAACAGGGCCAGGGGAGGCAGGGGCAGGGCTGTGGAGCCACCTGGGCAGGGTCACCTGTGAGCACAGCATGGCTGCAGCAGCACAGACCTTCATCCCCGTCAGCACTTCCTCAGAGCCCCAGAAACCAGGGGATGCACAGGAGGAAGGAGGCACAGCTGGCTGCTGGCCAGGGAGTGCTCCTCAGGACACACAGGGACAGGGCTGGGGAGGCACCTGAGGAACAAGAGGGCGTGTGATGTCCTGCTGCAGCTCTCTGGGTGCTCCCAGGGAGGCTGGCGAGGGTCAGCACGTCCCTGCCAACTTAACGAGCCCTCAGCAGGCACAGAGAGAACAAAGAGACAGGTAAAGGTCAAAAGCTGCTCCCTGCAAAGCCAGAGGAATTTAAAGGGAAGTCCTGCTCTGATCCTGCAGAACACCTGTTGCTCCGCACTGCCTGCATGTGCAGGTGGAAGGTGCTGCAGGTACACACATGGCTGGGAAGGGGAAACCAAAAAAACCACAAAAGGTTTGGAATAGTGTCCTGCCAGCTCAGAAATTGAATCTGCTGGACTTGCCTTGCAGAAGAGCTGCACACCAGAAATCAGAGACCACTGCAGTGCTGCAGACAGTAGCCAGACACTCTGGGATATATAAATATCACCAGGAAACTCAATCCTTGCACTGTTCTCACAGGCAAGGGAAGTCTCTGTAGCTTTGGCTGAGGGATTAATGAAAAACAGATGCAAGTCACAGGACAGTTTCAGGGAGGGTGACAAGAGTTATCTGGGCCAGGGAGAGAGATTGCCAAGGGAAGATAAAAGTGAGGGAAATGTATTAAAAGTCCTCACACATGGGAACTGTCACTGCCACAGAAAGGAAGAGCTGTTGATGAAGGACAGGAGAAGCTGTAGGGCAGCTGAACTGTGGCAAGGAATACCCAGTGTTGTCATTCTAGTAGCTGGGACAATGGTGCACCAGAACAGGGAACCCCAAGGGGCCATTTACAACGCTGGGGTTTCAAAGGCCACAGAAATAAATACCCAGTCAGTCCCAGTGGGGACCAGATGGTGGGCTGGACCTCTGAAGGTCATCTAATCTACTGGTACAGACCCAAAAGTGCCTGAAACTCAGTTTGGGAAAGTGCTTCCCTTCCTAAAACACAGGAGTTCATACAGCACAAAGCAGCACATCACAGAGACCAATCTGCAGGGTTTGCTGCATTCTCAGCCCTTCTCCACGTGGGACAACATCTGCACACACAATCCATGGGGCCTGGGTCGTGGGGAGAGGCAGGAACTGCTGCTGCCTCTGGGAAAGCAGCAGGAACCATCCCACACCTCAGGCAGCAGCAAATCAGCACCATTCAAAAACCCCATTTTTCATATTAATTTCATATTTATCTGCTGATCTGAGGGGATTCTTCTCAGTGTGGCAGAGCCAGCTCAGCTCTCCAAAGCTGAAGCACTGCGTTAGCTGATAAGCTCTTGCTGAGTGCCAATATTTATTAAGCACACACACATTTTCTTCTCCCACACATCAAGCCTTGCCACTAAAAATCTTCTCTGCAGCTCCTGTGCCTGTTCACACAGCCCTGGCTGCTCTCCCAGCCGGTGCCAGCACTCCTCAGCTTGCTGAGTGAGAAATGCTGGGGAGCCAATTCCTGCAATCACCCGGGAGCCTCTTCCCCTGAGCCCGTCCAGCTCCAGCCAGCAGCATCCAGCCTGGCACCGGCTGCTGCTCCCCAGGATGCCCTTCCCTGCCCAGAGCCATCCCCAGGATCCTGTCTGCCATGGCACAGTGCTCCTCAACCCCTGCCTCTTTCCCCTCTTGGGAACAGCAAGTGCCAGCTTTGGAAGTCTCAAGCACAGAGCATGGAGAATGGAGCCTGGAGAATGGAGCCTAAAGTCAGGACCCAGCTCCTCCAGCCCCGGGTGGATTTTCTGTGCCACCCTGACCTGGTCATTCACTTCACCTCTGCTGCTCTGCAGGCACATAGAGCCCTTATACCACCTTTCCTTTGTGTTACAAACATTGGGAATAAAAGGAGAAAAGCTTCCCAAACTCCTCCCTGTGCTGGAGCCAGTGAAGAGGATCCAGCCAAATCAAGGCAAAGCATTTACCATGGGGAGCCACTCTGAAGTCATCCCATCTCATGGGGAGAGTTATGTAGGTCACGGAGCAGGGTTTCACTGCTGCCCTGCTGGAGCTGCAGCAGCTCACAGAGTGAGAGCAGAGGGAAGGGAACAGCCAAAATCTCCACAATTCCAAATGCAGTCGCTACAGGGGGACTGGCTTCACTCACATCTCAGCTGAGCAGTAAAAACGGGGCAGCAGCCTGAATCCTGCAGGGCAGTGACTCCGGGGATGAAAAGGGAAAGGCAATGCTGTGTCAGGGCTGGCTGCTCCCAGCCACACCTGCCCAGGCATCAGAAAGCAAACAGAAAGAAAACAAAGGGCAAACAAAACTCACCCATCCCCAGCACCACACTGACCAACAGCACACTGTCACTGAGGCACTGTGTGTGCCACATGTCCCTCTGTCCCTGATTCACCAGCCTTTCCTGTCACTTGTCTGCACTGCTCGGGCACAGGAAAGGCTTTTATGGCTTTTTATTTCCCACATCCTGTTGCTGTGTCCCGGTAACATCCTCAGGACTCGATGCTCAGAAAGCAGCAGCTCAAACCCCCGGAGTGTGGATCCCAGTCCCAGCTCGGTGGGTGAGCTGCCTGCTCTGCTCTCAGTGTGACAGACACCAGACCAGCACCAGCCCTGCCACTCGGACACTCAGAACTTTCCCTTTTCTTCCTATTCCGGGCAGCGGCTGAGAACAAAGCACCTCTGCAAGGCGAGTCTGAGACCCGAGTTATTGTACAGCAGCACAGAGAGCAGGGCAGCACCCCACAGCCCCTGCCTGCTCCTCAAACCACTGCCCGCGACCCTCCATCCACCTTCCCGCGGCTAACAGGGCTCAGGCTGGTGTTGGGCTCACCTGGGAGAAGACCAGGTCCCCAAAAGGAAGGAAAACATCGAAACACCCCAAACTGCACGGAGCCGCACCGAAAGAACAGAAGAGAAAGTTTAAGAACTATTTCCATTTCCACCAGCGCCCCCGGCGGCATCCCGACCCCCGGATAGCAACCCTGACCCCCGGACAGCATCCCGACCCCTGCACAGCATCCCGACCCCTGGACAGGATCCTGAGCCCCGGAGAGGATTCCGACCCGGGACAGCATCCCGACCCCCGGATATGATCCCGACCCCTGAACAGCATCCCAAACCCCGGACGGCATCCCGACCTCCAAGCAGCATCCCGATCCCCGGATAACATCCCGATCCCCGGATAACATCCCGACCCCCGGACGGCGTCTCGATCCCCGGACAGCATCCCGACCCTCGGATAGGATCCCGACCCCCGGTGGCATCCTAACCCCAAGCAAGCTCCCGTTGTCCTGGAGCTCCCGCCGCCCTCCGCGGACAAAGAGCGGGATCTAGCAC